TGGAAGGCTTCACAATGCTTGAGTTTATTGAACAAAAGTATTCTCTTGAAAATTTCAACGATGACCTCAAAGAAGATATAAAACGTGCAGAGGAAAAAAAAAAAAAAAAGCTAATAAGAAAGGTATTCGCTTGCCGACGAACGAATGTCATTGTATTGATATATTAATAACGTGACTTGAATAACAGATGCGTTATGGTTGGCTGAGCTCCAAACAAAGTTAGGGTAAAATCAGCCTATATAATAAGTTCTGGTTGCCGCTCTTTTTTTTTTTTCATTATTCTCCTTTCCTCGCGAATTACAATGTCTGTCGCTCTAGCTTTTAAGACAACCACCTCTCCTACATTAGCCGATGCTAGAAAACGAGTACTTTATTTATACAGAGACTGGCAACGTGCTGTAATACAGCTTTTTTAAAATATTTTACGGTTTAATTGTATGTTTTCATAAGATATATGTACTCACAAAAGATTTTATTCAATAAAGAAAGGCTCCAAAGATAGTTTCAGGTTACCCTCTTGATATTCCTATTTCAGCTGTACGAGCAAAAATCCGGGAAGAATTCGAAAAAAATCGGTTCGTAACCGACTTACGTGTGATCGATATTTTGATCTTTAAAGGGAGAGCCGAATATCAAGAAACTGTAAATATGTGGAAGATGGAAACGCATGTTATGAATTATTTTGCTAAAGAGGAATCCCCACCTAAACCACAAAGTTTTTTAGATAAATTTTATGGTAATTTAATAATTAAATTAACTAAATATGATTTTTTTTTTTTATTTTTATTCATTTTTTTATTAATTATAAATCATTTTGTTCTCTTTGATGATGTGGTAAAAAGAGGGTAGAGATTGATCATTTAAAACATATAAAATAAAATTATTATTTGGTTTAAATAGTTTCTTTGATGTTAAAATGACGTAATATTACTTGAAAAATTCAATCGTGATTTTTTAATGTATTTAATTGCAATACGAATAAAATAAAATAAATGGTTTAGAACAGAAAAAAGTTTCCCAGATAGTGTCCAAAAACTTAAATTGAATAAAAAAACCCGGTTCAAAATATAAATTGTGTAATTTCCATGGTCCAGATTTAGACAATATCAATATCGTGCGCAGTAATTTTAATACCTATATCGATAACTTTAAGATCTAAATCGGAATCTCAATTTCGCATTTAAGATAATGTGGGGAATAAAGAAATGTGGGGAATGTTTGGGGAATTACAGTTTTTTTTTAAAAAAAAAAATTTTATTTTATTTTATTTATTTTATTTATATATACTGTACATAATATTTCGATTTCGATTTACAAATAAAGGTCCATCGCTGCGCCACCATATTCAGTAAAGTAACTACAACACTCCAACAATCGAAAGTGTTGGAATAATATCTCCACCTCTCGATTAAAACAGTCAGACGTCACCCCCTTTTTTATTGAGAGGGTGAGATCTGACCGTAATTATTTTCTAAATTTTTAAAAATAAAGTTGTAACCGTACATGAAAACTAATCGAAATTGTTTTTAAATGGAACCTTTTCGTTCCGAATGTTTATATATTTTTTTTAAAGAGCACAAGTTCAAGTTTTTCTACCCAAGGTAATGAAAAAGGCTCAATAAATTCATACCCATAAATGTATGAGGAGTTCCGCTTATCAACAACTTCTTCAATTCTTTGAAGAGGTTGACACAATCTAATCT